CGGGAGCGGCAGCGCCGTTCAGCTTCGGTCTCGCCTCTCCGCCTGCCTGGAACACGGTTCCTCGCTCTTATCGTTTACATCTACGGAACGGGAATGGCAAAACAGACCCCATGCGAAATACGCAAAGAACACAGCCCTTAGCTATCACCATGTACTAGTAGGTACTACTACCAGTAGTACATGGAGTAGTATTTGCTAATTGCTCAAGATACACCAAAGGATTTTTTACAAACCCGGACAACGCAGCCATCCTCCAGCCAGCAGGACTGATGCCATCGTTTAACCGCTGGCTCCCCACCACCCACTGCTGCACTTTGTTCTTTCACATTAAACCAGTTCTAGGAAAACCAGTCTCTAAGGAAAACACCACGCTAGCACACGCACAAAAGCATTGAGGCTGACGAGAAAAAGACAATTGGAAAGAAATAATTGGACTGTTATCTGGATTGTCTTAAAATGAGCTCTAAAAATAACAGTAATAAAATGGTTTCAGATTCTTCTTTTGCTAAAATGACTCAGACTTGCCCCTCCCAAGCCAATACTGCATTAAGATTCTGGGAGTCCAGCAAAGGTGTAGAAGCATTTTTTGACAACAGACACCTTTTAAAAGGCTGCTTCTTGCAAAAATTGAGGAATTTTGTTTTTTTCTTAGCTTTTAGGAATATCCTGATTAGTTGGGGTACTACTTGTCCAGGAAGTTCACAGGAACATCCGTCAGAACAACATGCATTATGTTTCTGTAAGTAAATATTTATGAACATAAATGAACAGTTTCTTTGGAGATGTGATTGGGTTCCCACGAGGGATATTTGCTTCAGTCATCATCTTCCTACCGCAGAACATCATAATTCCCCAGAACGGAGCTTTGTGGTGATAAAGATCTGTCAAAAGGATCATCAAATATCAGGGTGCAGGTGTTACTTTTAAAATCACGACTCCCAAGATACAGTGAGTGTAACAGGAGGCCCGGTTTGCATCAAGACAAAGTCACATCCCTGAATCAGCAGGACAGATCACAATCCTTGCATCTGCGCTTCCTCTCATGCCAGTCCAAAGGAAAACTTTCAAGTCAGTAACAGCAACGAGGATTAATTTTGCTGCTGTAATTATTTCAGTGTAGAAAACTACACCAAAAAAGAACTTTAAAGAATAATTGAAAACTGCAGTGAAAACGAAGCAATTTTTTTCCTAATGTATCAATTTTAAGGATACCTATTATAAAAAAATGGGCCAGTTGTTTATTAAATAGTCCAGATACTGTTGCCTGTATGTTTTGCCTCTCCTCCCTACCTGACTATAGATCTTTGATGCCTAATTCATCAGTAACAGGCTACAGGTGGTGTTAGTTTATCTTTTACACCTCACATAGAACTTCCTGTGATGCTAAAGCAGATATCTCTCACAACTGTGCCTGCTTTTAATTAGCTCAGAGAAAGGCAAACCCTGAGGTTTAGCTATTTCAACTTGAGGAAAAGCTGCAGGTTCACCACATTGACGAAAACTACCAAGTTGTATTCAGCACAATTTGCAGTGCACCATCTTGCACCGGAGCTGTGACAGCTGCTAACTCCTCTACAGCTTCCTCTGCATTTTGAAACACACCTCTAAGCAAACATTTTCAAGATGTTTGTCTTTGCCCTGGCTTTGCTTTTGCCTGACAACCGCATTTCTGCCTAGCACCAGCTGTAACCCCAGTCTTTTCCTTTCTTTTGCTAGCAAGAGGCACATAAGTTCTAGTAACCTTCATCTGAAACAATTCCCTGAACTCTGCAATTCCGCTCTCTTCATACGCAAACTCCCACATCTATAAGCTACTGGTTTGTGTTCTGTTTTCTATGAACTGTGGATTTTCCAGAATAAGACACTGTATGATTTAAGAAAAATCCCAACAACATAAAAATGACCAAAAACCTAAGGACAGAGGTAACTATAATTTCACGATAAACTGTAAGACAAATTAAACTGCTTTACTATGATGTGCAATGTTTAGTGATTGTTTTATTAATGCAGAAATACCTGCTTAGCTTCATACCCATTCTGATTTAAAGTGCAATAATTAAATCTGATAGTTCTTGTACATCCGTATTTTGCAAGTGTGGTTCCTAGAACACAGGTCGTTCGGATTATGCCTTGCATTTGTAAAATCTGTCATTTTTAGTACCATTTTTCTTTATTAACTAAAATAAACTGTACAAAAAGCTGTAGAGTTACATTAGCTTTGAACAATGTAGAACACATGTTCTCTACCAAACTTTAGTGTGCAAATATTTTACATTTTTTAAAGTGACAAAATTAAGCCAACCTTGAAGTCAGAGTTCATTACCACATCACAAAACAGGAGACTAGATATGGCAAAAAAAATTCCCCACTGAAATCAACACCATTGTATAATTTTATTTCTAATTCTTAAAAAAATATAAATGAATTTAGAAGAGAGTCACAGTATAAGGGCCCTAACATATTCGACCATTACAAGGTACATAAAAATAGAAGACACAGATTTCTTTGAAACTTTAATCCTTTGATTAAGCAGCAAGCATATCACTCTCCAGGCAAACACTGCTTAAAACAAACCCTACCCCCCAAAACAGGACGTGCAAACTGTATGCACATATTCTGCAAAGCACACAATAAAGACATTTTGCTATGTACATAGTTATTTAGTACTACAAACGCTAGGAGTTCCCTACTGTGTGCTACAGTGTATGTAAATTAAGAAATACTACCCATCTCTGACCCTCCCTCCCCCCTTCAAATACAGCACCTTTGCCCAGTTATAGAATATTTAAACAAGATTAAACGGAATTACAATGTACTGAACAGTTTTAAAGCAGTTGGTGGTGGCCAACTGTACTGAAACACCCAACATTCTGCATACTGAAGTCTATCGACAAAAGACAAGACAAAAATTAGCAAAGGTACAATACACACACCTGGGAGACTCAATGCTAAAAAAAAAATTAAAAAAAAATCCTGAAGATGTATCTTATCACTGTTAACAATTAAACCAAGATACTTAGGATGGCAAAATGTACCAGATGAGTTTCGTATCAGTTTTAAAGACTGGAGAGCAGCCAGATTTGCGTGTAGTGGGCAAGGGGACACTTACGACTCCCAGAACACAATTTTCAGTGACCACGAATTCCTCAGTGCTTGTTTTACAATGCTGCTTTTCTTGGACAAGAGGTCATCTGATCCTCACACAGTGGCTAAGCACCTACTGATGCAAAAGAAAATTCATAAGAAGGACCTTTTGTTCAAGATCTCAGCACACCAGTGAAAGCTGATCAGAAAGAAAAATCTCTCCAGTTTGGTCTGAAAATATTTTTAAATGAAGAACTAAACCATAAACGTCAAACCCTTAACTGCAATTCAGGCCACAACTACCAAACTTTAATACTAGATTTACAAATGAAACAGGATCTAATGCTATAAGAACTTTCCTTTGCACATATAAAAGGACCTTAGCCAGCTGCTAAACTGATCATTAGACCATCCAATTCATCTGTGAAAAAGCCCAGGGAGAGCACATTCCTTTTTCAAATAAAGTCTCATTTTAGTCAAGGGCAGATCTAGTTAATAACAGAATGGATTTAAAAGGATTTTCCAACATCATTCAGTTATAAACAAAAATAATTTTCTAAATAGCAAGGCAGTCAACATGAACATTATTATATAGTCTAGAATGCAAGATTTTTCAATAGCTTGATTCAGATCAGAGTTTCAGACAACGCTACTCAAATTTGCAGCCTGGTTTACTTGGAGGATAGAGGCATCTACTTTTAAAAAACCCCAAACAACCAAAACTAAAAAACCTCACCCCCAAAACACTGCTGAGAATAAATCAAGGTTTCAGACAAGAATGCAGTGGAAAGAAAACCTTTCAATCTCCTAAAATTTGGAAGCAATAATTAATACCCAAATGCAAATTTTACTTAGTCAACAAAACAAAACAAACAAAAAGCCCCCACAATACCTCCAACCCAGCTAATCAACTCCACCAGAAATAGTGGAACTTGGAAATAATAATTTAACAGTAAGACTGGGCTGGCAGCAGGTAACTAACTCTGCCACCACAATATTCTACTACCATCATCAGCCTCTATACTTCCCTCATGAATTCTTAGGCAAGATGTCAATGCTCTAACATACACGAACTGCAGACAGCCATTCTCAGAGGAATTAAATTCTACTGTACTTAAATTAGAAGAATTAGTGGAAAAACAAATTAAATTAATGGTTCTCGCTATATGCTTCCTCTCCTGTCACGCCCCTGGGTGGTGGAAGTCGCTGCCTCTCTCTCCGCCCCAACCCACAAGAGATACTGCAGCAGGAAACTGGACTCCTGTTTTCAGTTAACTTCTATGAGTAGAACACATGGGAGATTTAGTAAGTTTGGTACAATAGCTCATTGAGTCTTCAGAATACTCTTTCAGAGGAGTATTAAATAAGACAGTACCTTTCTAAACAAGAAAAAGTGTTCTGGGAAGAACATGAAGAGAAGAAACACCTACATTTTACAACTGCATGAAATGCTTCTACAGTTACCTAAACAGGACCAAAAACTCTGAACCTAAGGCCTTTTTTTTTTTTTTTCACTAAAAAGTAAAAAAAAAAAATTCACACACACCAAAAACCCCAACGCTACATTTAAGTCTCCTACAATATTATCTATTCCTAGATTTGCCAGACTACTTTCCTGTAGTTAGATGCTTGACTACAAAGAACTGTAATAAAATAAATAGAGTAAAAAATCAGTTAAACAAAATCTTGGTGTGTTGAACATTTATTCATTGAAGAAGTTAGCTTCCTTCAACAGTTATCCATATAGAGGAGGGTTGTATTGTAGGCATTGCTCTGCTGTACATGTCTTTGAAATAAAAATATTTTTATACAGGTGGTCATTCATGTGGTTCCATTTCTCGTTCTTAGCTTGCTCCTCTGTAAAACTGGTCTGATACCTGTGAAGGCTTGCTCTCTTCTCCCCTTCATTATTTGGAAAAAAAAAAAAGTACATTGATACAATTTTTCAAATGTAGGAGTTAACATAATTCTGTTTTATTTCTTCAGTGCAGAGTGGACTGAGATTCTGTCTGAATTCCAATAAGCGAGGGTGGCTGCTGGCCGCTAACCGTGGTTAACACTGGCCTTGGGTTTAGACGAGGAGGCATGGAATTAGCTGGGCGGATGAGTGGTGGGGGAGGCTGATTTAGCGTCGGCCTTGGCTGAATAAATCGTGCCTGCTGTTGAAGCGGTGGAGGCTGACGATGAAGAGCAGGAGCAGCAGGAAGCGCTGGACGAAGTAACGGGGGCGGCTGATTTAAAGTTGCCATGGGAGGGGTGGTGCTGGAGCAGATGCCTGTGCTGGAGGTGAAGGGCCTAAACACTGAGTGGCCGGAGTGCTTTTTGCCTGCACAAAGGACAAAGACAAGACTGCGTGAACAGCCATCCCAGCCAGAGCTCAATGCAGTTGGGCTGCCACTGTCCACTACACAGGAAACAGCATTTAAAAAATGAAACCAAAACACTGAGAAGTTACTGAAAAGAAATCAACCAAAACATTATAGACAGCAAAACTAAAAATATTTACGAAGCAAGAGTCTTCTTCTAGAACAAGAACTGTATTTTTAAACAATAAAACAGTAACGTGATCATCACTATGAAAGGTGCAGTCCTGCTCCCAGCTGGTTAACGACATTGGCTGAAGTTCTATGCAAGCTCATCATCATTCTTTAGAATGCGGTTTGCTACTCCACACCAGTTAACCTTACATTATAATCACTAAATAAAATGCTGTTCCTCAACCCATGCTTACTTATTTCTGGTACACAAAACACACCTCATCTTCTTCATCAGTGCTCTTTCCTGATGGCACATTAGAAGTATTTTTTGTGTCCTCCCCTAAAGCAGAAGCATCACCATTAGAAGCCAGGGTTCCTTGTTCCGCTTCCCATTCCTGCAATACCTCCTCTAAGTTAAACCGACGCCTGTAGTTTACAAAGAAGTTCTTCACTTGGCCAACAGTCTTGTTGCCAATTACATCTGCAATAGCTTGAAAATCTTTACCATATTTTCGGACACCTGGAAGGCAAAGTAAATAACATAGCTGTGAAGAATCAGTCAGACACAGCTACGTGTGATGTATTTATAGAGAGAACCTATGGGATCTGCAAACCAAGGACTTGCTAATTAGGAGGACTCCCCAGTTAGGAGAAGGCCTCAAATTTCCATTAAAGCAAAGTAATTTTAATTGCACAGCTATCAACATACAAATCAAGAACTTTATGAAAAGGTCATTACCCGCTCTTCTTAAAGATCCTGGCTTACTCACCAAGCCTCCCAACCTAAAACCACAGAGAGCTGGCCTCTGACAAGTAAAGTAAATCCTTCAGTGTGCTTACAGTAAGGGCAGAAGCCCAAGACAAGTTCAAGATGGGAGAGGGAGAGTGACAAAGCATTTGTGTATAGCTGTAAACAGGGTATAACACTAGAAATGTCAAGGGACAAACATTGAGAGCTTCTATAGGTTCCCTCTGTGCCAGCTTCACGCAGATGTTTCTTTGCCCACAACCTGTGCAGCTGAAGTGGCAGAGGGCAGTACGTACTGGAGTAAGCACAGGGCAGAACAGGGGAGCACAGTTCCATGAGTCACGATATGCCGCTCATTCCTGTACTGGTGACATGCTCTACTGAGCCTACGAAGAGCAACTGGCAAGCATTCACCTGACAAAGTCTTTTTAAAGCTTCCATTCATCATTTGAGCTGGGTAGAAGAATCTGGGGTTTTGGGAGAAACACCTTGGGGAATGTTAGCAAACATAAGCTATTGGTGTCTGTTTGTAAGACAGCCCAGCACAAGCCACTAGGATCAAATCCTCCAGCAAGAAGTAGCATGTCAGAAGATCTTTGCATTGTTTTTTTGTTAATTTTCATATTGACATCAGGAGGTCGCTTTTGTTTACAAGCACTTCACAAGAAAATACTTCACAAGAAAATCTCAACATGTACTTTTTAAAGTTCTAAAACTACATTTGCGTATAACACAAAAAAACCATTAAGTACAATATTCCATAGGTTTTTTTCACCTAAAACTGGAATTATAACCTAAACTTTATTGATTTTCTCTCAGTTGTATTTAGGGTATATGTCTAGTTCCTCTTCTCCTGCTTACAAAAAAATCTTCAAACTCTCCAGCATCCTAGAACACAGCTTTTAGCTGCAAAGAGTATATTTTTAATCACAAGTGTCCAAAAGTTTGGAGACTAAAATAAATAAAACAGAGTTTTATTCCAGACTGAGTAAACAGAAGACTCATTTTTTGCTCTCAGCTATGCATGAGTGAATTAGAATTTGACTTCTTCTGTGAAGCTCCTGATAACCAAACTCATTTGGACCATATCACAGTGCTTAGAGGACAGGCACTCTGTCTCATTACAGGAAAATAAATTTATGCCTGATTTCATGCCTCACTTCAGACAGTGAAGCAAAGGATTCAGAAAGTGAAAGTTGTTTCAAATCTGAAAGCTATATTCCTTTTCAACTTAATTGTGAAGAGTATGACCTTCAGCTTGTTCTGCTCTTTTCTACTTTCTTCGTTAATAGGCACTTCTGATGCAGCAATGTACACTCACTGCAATTTAACAGAAAAGTTCAGTTCCAGGATAGCAACAATTTCTGTAGCTGAAGCCAATGTTTCACCTGTCAAGAGCCCAGCTACATTATTTAAGATCTTTTCTGGGGCATACAAAAGAATCCAACCGTCCTGACTGCAAGAACCTTCGAAAGAAAACAAAAGGACCTATCAGAGCCATGTGGGAGGGCACGTATCTAGGCAAAGCAAAGACAGAGATTTGGCTCTGGGCTTTATCAGTTGTATAAGGTATCAGTTATACTCCTTAAAAGCTGTGTGCACCCACAGAGCACTCCCTCCAGTGTTTGAATATTCTTTGATTGCCCTACCACCATCTGTACTAATTTATAATGATCCCTAAATGTCCACTGCAACATATGTAACATCCTGTACAGTTAATCAAGTGAACAAAGTGCCCAGTAGAACAAAGCACATTTTTGTTTGAGACCTAATTCAGACTTTTAGTGATTTCAGCCTTTTCCCTTACTATGCTGTCTATACTTCTTCCTTCCCTTTAATCTGCAAAACAACTGAGCCTATTGGCTAACTTCAACTGAAGTTGCCAAAAATCAGGTCTTAAAACCTATATCCAAGCAGACAGCTTGAAAACTGTGCATCTTGCCTTCACTGAGAGCCCAACTCAAAGAAATACCTAAAGAAAATAAAATTTCCTTAGTTCAGCTACACACAGCATTACTCACTTTGGATTCTTGTCAGTGTTATTTAGTAGTGCTCTAGCATCACAATGACTTCTACACAATGATGTAGTAAATTCCTTTTAAGCTGCATCAGAAACAGAAGTAGTGCAACACATGTTTATGGAAGTTTTATGCAAGAGGTGCTGGCATATCTGTAAGAGTTGATGCCAGTCCATCACCTCTTTCAAACTGGTGCACGTTACTTATACATCCTTATACAAATTCTGTGCTCAACAGCACCCAAATTATTTCTGAAGAGTTTAATCTGTTATTCAATAAGAATTATTTTATTACGTTGCTGAAAGTGAAGCTGAAAAAAGGACGACTGCATAGCCTCACTTCACACATACAAATGTCTTTCTCCCACCTCCTTTGAACGTACTCCTGATCATAGGAATCCTCCAAGCTCTTCAAAACTTTGCCCAGTTGCAAAGGTGCACACATACAAATGTCTTTCTCCCACCTCCTTTGAACGTACTCCTGATCATAGGAATCCTCCAAGCTCTTGCAACTGGGCAAAGTTTTGAAAGGTGCACTTGAACATATGCACGCTCACTATTACAACATTTCATCCTGAATGTCTAACTCTGAGAAACTCTTAAGCCCAAGTTTGATGCCGCCTATGCTGCTTAAGGCTGTGCAGTGAAGCAAACACTGACAGGCACACAAAGCATTTCCCTAGGTCCAAAGCAATAGAATAGAGCACCACAACGAGGCAGAGATAGTTAACAGCAACCCCCAGGTTATGAAACCTGCAGTTTCACTGGAATGGGATTACCACACTTCTGGCAACTGCCTTAGATTAGATCCCAGTTGTCCCCACTGTTTTCCACTGAAATGATATGGAAGTCATGCACTGCTTTACAATTTAAATTTTGTTGTTTTGAACAAGTCTTAAAACATTTTTGCAATTGCAATTTTCATACAGCTGAGATCTTAGTTTGAAAAGACGATCATGCTCATACATTTCTACAAAGTTGGTAACTTAAGAACACCTCAAGTGATGAACTGGCCCATTACATTCAATAACTATTCAGACAAAATGGAACAGTAACTTGAGAAATTATACAGCAAAAGATTGTCTCAGAGATCATAAGTCTGAGTCTACAACCCCACTGCTTTTAAGATTACACACTCAGCTGTGTTTTAAGGTGGGTTTTTTCGTTACCTCCTCTTTAGCTACTGCCAGGCTCTTGAGATTAGCCCACAGATGAAAAGAGTTTTTTCATGTTTAGGAAAAACAGTACCGAAATTTTACTACTACAGATTACTTTCAAGATTTCCATGGTAGGATTTAACATTTGAATTCAAGTGAACAAATCACAGAAGTGCCACCTACCTGCTTAATGCTTATGTTTTCTGTAAAATTATTAAATGCACGTGCCAAAATGTATCAATATATTTGATGAAATAGATCTATTTTAAATGTACAAATTAAATGTCCCCATGCTCAGGTCAACTTCCAAGTTCAAGCCTAACACACATTACGGTAGCTTGTAGCACAGCAACCATGGCTACTTTCTTTTAAAAAATGAGGCAGGGCAAAAGACAGCATGGCTCCTTCATGCATAAGTCTGCTGGCTCAAGGAATTATTTTGAAGCAAGAGATCAAGGTCCTTAGCCTGAAGGACGGGAGGTTAATACCTACAGCACTCTCATTCTAGGAGGAAGACTCTACTACTGGGCAGTAGATGAGGAAGGGATAATAAGAATACTGGCATTAAGGTGCGCTCCCATCTCCATTTGATACCGTGGCAAAGGAAGGGGACTAAAAAAGGAAACAAAACATATCAGAAGCGAATGTAAATTCAATGAAAACAGGTTTCTTCCAGAAGTCCTGATTTCTCACCCCACCCTTAAGTATTGAGGCTGACTACCTTTATAAAACACAAAACTTTCCCTAGAGAAGAGATCAGAAGACTGGAACTCCTCTCCAGGGAGTCATCACCAACCCTCATTCTCTTTTGCCCTTGCTCCAGTTTTATTATTTACCTTGTCAGTCACATAGTGCCATAGCTTAACAAAGCCTCAATGCATTCTTATTGCTTCCCAAACTGACGCTTAGTGAGAGCTCCAATAACTAGACTATGAAATGCAAGATGGTTTGAATCCTTTCATGCTAAGGCAGGCACAATGAACCTAGATTTTCCCCACTTCTACAGCAAGCATTCTACTTATTAGACTATCATTAAAGCTAGGCATCTCCTTTTCTGTTGCATTTGAGAACAAAATAGAAAAAGTGACCTTGTTAGCAATACTGAGAGAATGAACTTAGGACAGAAAACAGTTTGGAGACGCAAATTCCAGTCTGAGGCATGTAAGCTGAGAGGCATGACTTCGAGACATTTTGTGCTCTTCAGCATTTCTATTCACACTTCAAAATAAACCTAACTTTAGGTTCAGTCATCTGGCTAATAACTGCCAGGTATGGCACACCTGACAACTTTACACTGATATCCTGATGCAACTGAAGATTTTATACTGAAATTCAGTCTTTTATTTTAAAGGAGGTGAAGAATACTGAGAAATAAAGCAGATGTGTATAACTGAGCTGATTATATTATCTTAAAAAAGATGATCCAAGACAGCATTAGGCCCTCCAGGTATTTCCTTGCATGTTCCTTGGTCAGGCAGTGCATAGTAAAGCAAGACAGTTTTCCTTCATATAAATTAAATACTGCAAATTAGCTGTATCAATAGCCTGACAGTGTTTTTTTCCTCAATAAGACTGTTAGTCAAGTATCCATATCCAGCTTCAGACTCTTAAAAGGCCTCCACTGGGTGGATATCTGCTCTTTTATTCCCTCATGAATAGAGAAAAGTAACTGTACTTTACTTCTGCTTTTTCCTACTTTAAGAATGTGGAAAGATGTCTTAACAAGTGTTTGCTTCAAGTTTTATTACTTCAACTATTACTTCAGTCTTCCACTTCAGAAAAATCCTTGTAAGGTTATTTAGAAGATGATCAAAGGGACTTCTTGGTACTACTACAGTTGTCGCGTAAACCCAACTTAGGCTTTTCTATTCAAGTTTTAATACAGATAACTGAAAGGCTAGTGTCACGTTGTTTGACTGAACGTCCTAAACATTCTCACTAGTTTTGCTGTTTTCCCAGTGACTTTCTTGTAAGACCAGATAAAGTTTAGCTTTACACTAAAGGGAAATACAAACAAAAGCCTGAGTACCTCTTCAAATCCTTTGCATCAGATTTCAAGTCGCTACTGCTATTAACATACCTTGTACTGCCAGAAGCTGCTCTTCTGTGGTCCAACGGGCATTGATTTTCTGATTAGACTATTAAAATTAGAGAAATGGCACAAAGATCACTAAAATGTTTCAACAGCTGCAAAATATCTGAGCATCAGAGTGTGTTTTACTTGCACTACATTTTGCAACATCAGTAAAAATCTCTTGCTTATAAGCCATAATTTTATAAAGTTTAAGATTGCTTTCATGAAGAGGAAGTAGCATTTAAGGATTGAGCTTAAAACTACACCAATTTTTTTTTCTCTTTTTTATTGCAATTCTTAATATCAGCTATATCATAACTTATGCACAAGCTAATGATCTTTATGTAGACAGAGTTTGAACCGATAGTTACATTTATCTAAACTATTAGGACTTGGTGTCTGGAGTGTTATGCATTCACATTACATTTCATATCCAAGACTTGAAAACAAGCAAAAAGAGAACTTCAGTAGTAATAAATCATTCACTTTGGATGCCCAAACATATATATAGTCATGTTTTCCCACAGAACGCAGAATTTACCGCTAGCAATCTCCACTAAAACAACCTCATATATCAGAGCTCAATTTCAGCTCCCTATTGTCATGAATAGACATGACATTTCAGTTTCTTATGCTTCTTTTTTCAGCCAGTTGGCATAAAAAAAGCCTACCACCATTTTCCCGTAGAGAAGCCAGATAGACTCACCCTTGCATGTAATTCAATGGATCCTGTTTAAACTGCTGCTGAAATGTAAACACTATCCTGCAGCAAAACACATTTCTGTAGCTTCCCACTAATGTAAGGGCAAGGACACAAGTTTGTGATTTACCTCAGGAGGTTTGAATTCTTCAATCCCGCCTTCCATTTTCTGTTTAAGTGCACTGTTTACTTGCTTAGCATTTTGAACCTTGGTCAAAAACAACAAAGTTAATCAGCTCCACAAAGAAAGTTGGTCACTTTACACATATATCTTCACTAGGATTGCCACAAGTGTACCTCCTAAGTTAGAAAGAGAAATATTATGGTTTAAGGCTTCACTACTTTTAACTGTTTTGTTTTTTTTTTTTTCAAAAATAAAAATTTAAAAATATAGCACAGTTTACTATGGAGAGAAAAAAAATTCAAGCCAGTCTTTCAAAAGAACAGTTAGTGTGCAGGAATATTAAAAGTAGGAGATAACAAGCAAGTTTTTATAATGATGCATGTGTTCTTGAAGAAGAATGCAGAACATTCTAGACACAAAACTTGGTTCTTAGAACTCTAAGTGAGATGCACTGTATATGTTAACTTCTTCCTTCTCCAAAAAGCACTTCAGGGGTGTGGGGTGGGGGGGAAGATTTATGAGCTATTTCCAGTTAGTTCCTTCTGAGAGACTGCTTTTTATTGACCTTAGATCTTCATAATTTCCTTTAGGGGTGATTCTTGAAATTATTTAAAATATTTAAATAAAATATCTTAGACTATAAAAACGAGAGAGCTTCCAAATTGTACATATACATCTCTTCTAACCATTTAAACCTAACAGCAATGCACCTAAGGTAACATGGGTAAGAAAATAGTTCAGCTGTGAACCGTAGTATGCAATTACAAGTGTTCTTTAAGTATGGACACAAAAGCAGACAACTCAGTAGGAGATTCCAAAGGCTGCATCTCTGAGATCACTGCAAGAAAAAAAGAGAAACACATCCTCAAGGCTGTAACTCACCTACACTTAGGCTTAAGAGTGAAACCCACCTATGCTATTTAGCCCCAGAGTCCTGCTGTGACAGAAAGAAGGATATTTCTCCTGTAGAAGAACACAAGGGAGCAAAAACCCCATGAAACCCTTTATTCACTCCACGATTTTGCAACATGGCAGCTCTTAGCCATCTCTAGGGAGGCAGAAATTCCAGGAGATAAGCATTGACTTTGTAGCCCCATCGCTCCTAGAAAGCAAGCATGCACACACTGCTGCACCCTTAGAAGCTGAATAGATCCTGTGTTTCAACTTTAAGTGCTAAAAGTTAGCTTCTTCATGCAAAGGATGCAAGCAATTGTCCTCTTAAAGCTGAAGACTACAAAGCTTTTCTAAATTTAATAAGTATACATCTCACAAATTCAAATAGAGAAGTAACTACGACCATGATTTCACCTCCCTATACTTTCATGGTATGTGGGGAAGGACATCCAGAAAAACAGCTACAATTTTAAGCATAACAAATGGAACTTAACAGTGCTTCACTAGCCTTATTCTCACTTCTCACACAAATACTTTTAACAAAGTAAAAAAAAAAAAAATCAAGTCAAAGTGTGACTTTGGTTTCCTCCTGTCTCTACTTCTGTAACATTGTTTTCATGCCATACTCCACCCCCCTTCTTTTTTTTTTTTTTTAAAGAAAGTTATCTTGTTTCATGTTATCCACAAGAGTAGATGAACATAAAAAATAAAACCAAAGAATAGCTAGTCACATAGTGTTCACATAGTGTCCAGCAACTGTGGTACAAAAGTAGTAAGACTCATTAAAGAAGTTTCAGAATCTTCTTGGGTAATCTTCAAAATCATTACAATCAGAACAATCTGAGATGAAAACAAAACAAGACCAATAACTCATGGTACCTGTCGCTTTAATGAGATTAGTTCCATATCCAGCTGTCTAAGAATTGTGTTGGCTGCATTGGGACTACAGGAAACAGCTATCACATCTTCCTGGGTCAGGTACATGCCTTTTGGTGGACGGCATTTGGAACGCTGTGAATGGTGGCGATGCTGCAAGCTCTGATACTCTCTTCTACCCAGACCTATTTTGCTGGTCTGAACAGGCTGCTCATTATTGCCCTTTAATTTACAAGAAATAAATCATTAAAGAATAACAGTATCTTACATACAACTTTAATAAAGTTATCACATAGCATTGTAATGTCATATTCATGACTAAGAAAACATAATGCTAACATCCTCCTCTGCAATGCAGTATCCAAACTAAGTCTTGCAGACAAGCTGATGGAGCACATCAGTCATTTGCTGGATAAGCCTGCGTTAGTCTTAAAAAGGACAGTTTTTAAAACTTTTTTTTTTTTTAACATGTCTGAAAATAAAATAAATGGTATAAAAATCAGTCTGCATAGTGTGAAAGAGGGCAAAAATTGAGAACATCTTACGTACACAGGAGGTAAAGAACATATATATACACATATATTTTACATGTTTAAACCAAGTAGTCAGTGAATTTACACATTTATTTCTGGTCAGATACAAACAGTTCAGGTGAAGATCAGGGGAGAAGAACGAGAGAAAGTCAACCAGGATGGGCAAGAACGCAAGATGACACTTTTTCCTGCTGCAAGCACTCTGACTTGGAAGTAGTAGTGCTGCTTGCTTTGGAAGGAGATTTGATCTTGGAAGAGAGAGGATGGGTTTACTTTTGCAGAAATCATAAAAATCCATGTAATTTAGCAAACTTAAGCCTTTGTTGTTTGCTTTTTTGAAGTGGAAAGAGATTGCAAAGAGGAGATGAAATCTTTATAACTGCTGTTTTGATACATTTGGACACCTAAAAATTTCAGCTGTCTTCAACAGGCATCGCTGCACTACAGCTGGCCTGCATGCTCATGACTCCCGTAGAGCAACCAGGTAGGTTCCCTACAGACCAGGAGTAGAGAAGCAAAGATTACTTTCCCTGAAAGGATTTTGCAATTCAAAGCAATGCTAAGTACCAGGACAGAAATGGGATTATTCAGGCTTTTTTCTGCTTCAAGCAGCTCCCTACTGTTCCTCCCTGCTGGCATCCATGCAGGTTAAGAGAAGGTGGTCATCTGATTACAGTGCAGAGAAAACAAATGCAGAAGCCATTATTATGATGTTCGGTAGCATTAGTAGAGATCAGCAAACAGCATTTTGCTCTACTATGCTTGACCTTACTGTGCTGCCACATCCTCTTCCCAGCTAATGTAACATCTTAATCCAGTCCACAGACTTCATAGAGGCAATCTTAAAAGCACTTTATGTATTTGATCTTGCTTGCAAGAACATTCTTTAAAACAGCAGAATAAAAAGTAAAAAGGTTCATTTTTAGACCTTGTGCCATTTCAAGTTCTAAAAAAACATATCATGGCACGTTAAGAAAAAGCAAAAAAATCTCAAACTCTTACAGAAAGGGGGAAATTGTAACTGTCCTTCCCTTCCATCCCCAAAGCAGTTAGATAAAGTGGTACACTGAAGGCCATTGCAAAGCTGAGAATGGAATCTAAACCTATCAGGTTCTTATTCAGCATAATTTCTGGTAGAACTGCAAAGTTTTATTAATAATCCTAGATACCACTTCATGGGAATGTTGCAAGTTTTGCACTTCCTCTCCTCTTATACCGTCAAGAAGCATGAATGTCCCATTTTAGGAAAATCACAAATGCATTACATTGATCAAGGAAACAATCAAATGTTTACACACTTAACTGTGCTTTTCTAGTCTTGTTCATAAATAACTTAATGTTTACCAAAAGAATCCCCAAAGAACCCCAAAACCCGAACATAGCCCAAACAGAAGCACTTATCTGTGAAGCTAACAGTAAGTGCTCATTAGAGGAGACAAAAATGTTTTTTCTCTACATTTATTAGTAAAAAGCATCTCAGTAAAGCCACATATTAATTGAAATGCATAACCTCCCCGTGGCTTTAAAAAAGCAAAAAAGTTATTCTTGGAAAAATGTAATTTAATTTTAAAATGCAAATAAAACATTTAGATCCCAGTAATTCACAACAGTAAAACTGTAAACATATTAACAAGACAGAGGCAGGGGAAATGTTTTTTTACCAGGTAGTGATACGCATACATCTCTTATAAAACTTGAAGATCTCTCAGGAAACAGTGAAGGAAATGAGAGATGCATTTACGCCCGCAGAATGGCAAAAATATATGACAAAATTTTGTTTCAATCAGAAGTTGTCAAGATCTTGATCACCTAAAATCCCTTTGATTTCAGCAGGCTGCCAGCTAAACCTCTTTACTACAAGCCATGTTCTTCACAGTATCACATTCACAGAAAACAAACAAACTGACATTCACCATTAAGCTATCTGTTACCTCCTTTTTGGCTTCTTTTTTGGGATCATAATCACTATCATTTCCATCCATTGGATGAGCTTCTTCTAAGTCATCATCACTGAGGACAGATCATAAGAAGCTGGTCATTTTATCTATTTTTTAACCCCAAATATAAATATGTACCAGGGTAAACCAGGATTATGTACTCTAAAATATCTACTCTAGGTATATGTAATATCAAAGTTATTTGTATTTTTCAAAAGGGAGAGAAATATATTACAATCATATTTCCTTGATTAAATTCTAATACTTATTATGATAAGCAATACTAAACTGTAGTTTCAAAATGACTTTAAAGCAGCACTGCTACTGCTGCCAAAAAATTTGGTGTCACCTTTCTTCAATTCAATCACTTGTGCTAGCATGAACACTTACATGGTCAACTATACCAAGGCTAGAAATAACCTTTCATTTGCCACATTAGTTTTAATAGACCAAATTTCAAACCACTGCACCAGGTGGGTGAATAAACCCTTGATGAAGTCTGTGGGGAGCAAAAAGGGACAATACAAGATGGGAAAACACAGGGCTGCTTTTTCACAAAAGTGCTCAGGATCTAGCAATTTAGGGGAGGGAGAATGAAATCTGCTGAATTAAAATCAAAGAGAAAAAGTTGGAAAGATAACAGTTTAGCCAAGTCCTATCCAGTCATTCACACAATTTAATTTCTGAATAAATGAATGTAAAAACAGCACACATTTCTAGTCATTATAAAAAAACCCAAAATGCTGTATTAGAAGCACATTTATTTTCTTCTGTAATTTTTCAGCTACAGAGTCACTATTTCAGGAGTTCTTGTCCACAACATATAATTAAATAGACCCTTTTGCTCTATCTCAGCAGTTTTCTGCAGATGTAAAATCATACTTTTCAACATAAACATGATTATGGTATTTATGCATTCAACATATTAAATCACTTTTTAAAAAGTGCAAGGTAATACTCAAGTATACTAAGTGCAATATAATTTTAATTTCATAATAACTAGGGGAAACATCATTCCCTTCTACCCAAGACAATTTAAAACTATCTTGAGCCCTAATTCTCTTTGATAGCAGTTCTAAGTCTCCTAAAGATTCTATATAAAGTTTTGTTATAAAGCAGCACTTGTTGTTATAAAGCAGCACTTGGGCATTCTAATTGCTACAGCTCTTTATAGTGGTGGATCTTTCAGTCTTAATTCCATTCAAGTTCAAAAAAACCCAAACCAAAAAACCCCCCAGAAAACACCCACACCCACAAAAATACTCTCCTCCCCACACAATAATATAAGGTTAGACTTCTCAAATGAAGCATTATTTCTAAACCACATTTCCAGACTTCAGGTTTTTTTAAACCCTTGTTTTTACAGTTATCCATTAAAGCACTCAAGTGTGTTTTTACAACTCACACCAACTGGAGTGATACAGTTCTTAAAGCACAGGTACCAAACCCCTTGCTAAAAGCAGAGACATCACCACAGATGCTCATTCAGGCTGAAACATAATGGCTGGAAATTACTGCAACATCTCTACCTAAAAAGACTTCAGTCTACTTAAGAATCTAAAACTTACCTGTCACCTTGATTATTTCTATTAGCTAGTTTTCGAGCCTGCCGATCCATCAAACTTGTCCTGGAGCGAGTCTTTTTCCAAGAATAGTAATATTTTACAAGGCTTGCAATAGTCTTGTCTGGAAGCTAGAAGAATTCATTAACATATTAATACTTTTAAAAATTAAAATTCCACCCAATATTATAGTTCTGCTCTATTTACAACCACCTTTACCCAAATATTTTAAATGCATGGATGAGATAGAAAGGAGGGATGTATTTTATATACATTTTTTTAAAAGGGGGGGGGGGGGAGAGGCTTTTTTTGTTAGAGCGAAAAAGCTAGAGATCCAAGACACATGATGAAATTAACCGAAATCTTATATTCAAGGTTGTTCCCAAAACTTTTACACAGAAATCAGCATGAAAATTTAGCCCAACGGGAGCCTTTGTTCTTAGTGCATCTGAACTGTTCAATGCTTCTGATTAAAATATTACTTTACCATTTGCTGGATCCTGTGAAAGCTCTTTCCATGGAAGCTAAATGCTTGTTCAAATAGAACTTTATCTTCAACTGTCCATTCATCAGGGAAAGGAGTGAAGTTAGGGAGATCCGCAAGGGACTTCTCAATATTGTGCTTATGCCAGAACAACATGCCGAGCGCCTTTGAAAAGAAACAGTCCCTTTTTGGATTTAGTCAACTTTCTAAAATGTTGAGACAAGTTAAATAAAAAAAAATTATTTATTTAAAATAAAATTTGACTATCAGAACCCCTTCTTAAATTGTATTTACAATTTTATTGGCTATGTACTACTATAGGCTACAAAATTCTCTTTGGAGACAATATGGACAGTGGGCACATCTGTACTTTATTAGAGGCATGAAAGCTAGACAATTTAAGGTTGGCATGGCAGCAGTAATTCTGAAGCAGCACGAACTAGGCTGATAGGCTCAAATCTGACCTGGTTTCTTCCTTTACAAGCATGTATCACCTACACATTTCCTTATAGGTCTTCAGGCCTTTATTACCAGCCCATTCAAAAAAAGAAAATAAAAATACTTTTCAGAAGCCAGAGGATCATCCAAAATGCAAGTCTGAAATTCTACAACTCTCCAATCCACAAATAACAGCACGGCCACTTCCATGTCATGTGCACCTAATAAGGAATGGAAATTTAAATACACTTTCTTACATAATTTCATTTCTTGATATTCTTAAAGAATTTTATGCTGATTAGACTGCCAGAGAATCAATGACAGATTTGATGCCAAGTCTGGCACGGGAATTGGTAAATGTAATCCACTCAGTTTCAATCATACAGTGCAGAGATGATCACCAGTTGTTCATCAGCTCTCCAAACCCCTGATTAAAATGGGAAGTGACAAGCACCCCTTACAAAGATAATTTCTACTCCACTGTGAACAGTCTACAAATATTTTGTACCAGAAGTTGTCCTGCAAATGAGTCATTTTTATAGACTTATTTTGAGATCCCAGAGTTCCCTCTCTTCCCTAACAAAAGCCAAGCCATAAACAGCAGCAAATTGCAGGTATTCTGGACACAACGTTGGCAGCCTCTTTTTCAGAGAGCAGTTACCTAGCAAGTCTTTGCTACTTGGTCATACCACTTGTTCCCATTTTCTACACCAATTTTTTTTTTTTGCAATAGGTAATCTCACTTTTACATAAATTCGTTAATTTATTAAGAAAATTGCAACAGAACTAAGTAGAGACCAACAAAGTTTCATCCTGTAGTTTTTACAGGACGGTGACTAAAGGTTATTAAAAAAACCTCGTGAACTTGTTACTCTCAAACCTAGAATCTGATTCTGTTTTCCTGCTCCTGAGAAAACACACACTTAAAGTCGGTTTGCATCTTTTTTTAACATATGCAAGAAACCTTTCCAGTGCTGTTCCTACCACAATTAATGGTGCAAAATCGTACCACATTAGAATTTTAATATTAAACATTAAATTTGTAAGCTGCTTTCCTAATAAATTCTTTAGCTAAATACACACACACAATTGCATGACATGCCCAGTGTATCAAGAAACATACCAAACCTTTCAAAAGTGCACATTACAAGCTGAGCATGTCATGAAAACAAAGAGCTCAATCTTTTGCAGAGAATCCAGACCACAACTGTATGCGGATCCATTTAACTGCAGTGTTTGCTGCCGTGCCTGAAGAGAAACAGCGTTAATTAATGGTAACTAAGTGGGAAAAAAAAGAGAGTTGTGTTATACTTTTATATAAAAAAATCCTTTAAATGAGCACTCTCATTTCATAGCACTTACCTGTTCCACATTGTATCCATGTTTTTCCTTTGCTATTGCTATATATTCATCCACTGTAACAAAGCAATGTCAGAATTATTCTTTAGTACTTTTAGTTCTGCTATAAGGTGACACAGAATTAGCCATCTAATATGGGAAAAGTCTTCCCATGCTTTAATACCCTGCATAGGTCCAGGTCCCCCAAAATGTTAAATACATTCATAGCTTTATTAATAATAAAGCCCACTGCCTTTAATCCAACGTTTAATTTTATAAACTTTTTAGACCAGCTAATTCTCAGTGAAAAAGATGCTTTCTTCCACATTTTTACTACAGCAAAGCCACAGAGGCTCATCATTTATTTATTTAAATCAGGGACTGGCTGGTTATTGAAAGGCTATGTCTTCTTGGAACCCACTCCTAAGAATACAGACACACTGGGGGATGTCCAGACACCTGCATTAGTTTTAAATTGAACTACTTCTACTGTTCATATTCCCAAACATGTTAAAAATCAATGTAAAGAGATCCTAGATCAATGATTATGCATATCCTTGATATTAATATAGTTTTCACTGACCAACATTAGTTTTAACCATGGCATGAAGTCAGTTCTCAATAAAGAATATGAAAATTCAATAATTAGGTGATCAAATTCACCAGTAACGTATTTTAAAAATCATACTTGGGCATAGTAAAGCCAGCTTTGAGATGAACATTTTCCATAATTTTGCAATTAAGTCCTGCTAGTTTTGATCTTCAATGGGTACTTTTTTAATTTTTAAAGAAACAAACAAATTTCTTACTGTTCTGCAGGAGCAAAAAACATACGTTCCCTCCAATGTAGAGGGACACTAACCTCTAACTACTGGTAATAGGTAGAAACTGTCCTGAGGATCAGGTTCTCAAGACTGCATCTTCAAAGTTTACTCCCCTATATTATATATGGGAAATTCTAGCATAGAAGACAGGTTTAAACTAGATTAAACAGATAATCGATCACATCTAGTCAGACAACTCCTATATTTCAGGTCACTTTTGAAGGGAGAAAATGCTCAGTATTTCTTGATAGGATAGCAATAATAATAATTTCCCCTTGAACTGGGCCTTAACACATCTTTTCAGAATTTATCTGCTGCAACTCCTTCTCCTTGAAATTTAGAGCAGCAAGTTCCCCATGTTTAGATGTTTTATTCTTTTATTAATAACTAAAGGTTTCACAGACACTGATGATGATACAACACAGACAGTGGGATTGGAAACACAGACTTAACTATAAAATAAGAGGAGGTGATCTTTCCTTTCCCGGGAGTTCTCTAAACAAAAAATAAAAGAGAAGCTTTGTGTTTAATTTATTAAATTGCAAATTCACTTTATGTAAAAAAAAAAAAAAAAAAAAGCCAACAGGCACACCAGAAACAATTATTTAGTTATACTTAAGCATCCAAAATCCCAAGCAGGGAAAGACTTACGCTTGGCATCTGGAATATTATGATATGGAGACCATACAAGCATCCCACCATTATCTTTATCAGTATATTTTGTGGCACCTGTAAGAAAAAAAAAATAAGTCTCAGTATTTATAAATATGATCTAGAGAACAACTATTCATGGGACAACAAGTAAACCATATTAAGAAGTCCAGCACAGCTACTAAGGGGAGGGGAAAAAATCATTAATTCTACATTATTTCCTTAAAACATCAAATGGTTGAATTTGAACACTACTCTCACGAGGTTCAGTAATAACTGGATATTAGACAGGATCCTGCTTACCACAATTGGAGCATTACAGTGCATTGCTAAAGTTGGCATGGATGCAAAACATAGAGGTACTTGCGTTAGAACAGTCCTCCGGATGTTACGATTGTTTATTAGTACTATAACATTTTTTACTATCATAGGAGTATCAGGATCTACTGTGTTAAGTTAGGCTTCCTCAAAACAAAATAATACAAGGCAGGGGGCAGAACACAGTCACCATCCCTGATCCTTTCAACAAGGAACTATACTAACAACTATGCCAGAAACAATTCTGTTCATCTCTCTCTAGCTTTTATTTTCATTGCCATGTAAATTTGATATTCATAGACAACCAAATTGTGTAGCTGCAGAAAGCAGTTAGATGAAAAAGTCAACTTTTTTTGGTTGGTTGTTCTGAGGGGTAGGAATTGGGTTTGTTGTTTTTTGTTTGTTTGTGCTTCAGCTCCACCTCAATATAGCAGGGGAAGCAGTCCAAGTTACCTAACCTATCAGAAGGACTGAACAATTTTTGCAATACTGATGCAACTTTGTACCAAGCACTAAATCATAGAGTCTTTGATTTTTAAAAACATGCTGTAAAAGAAAAGGAAATTCCCCAACACTGGAAAAGTATTAACTAAGTTACTTTTCATTAATATTTTACAAATGTATGCTACTACATAAAGCCTCTTATAATCTATTTGTTTACAACAGTTTATCTTGCTAAGACATTGCTCAACACTTGGAGCATTTACACTTGTGTCACTATGAATTCCTTGAGGAATCGCCCTCAGAGGAACGTTCCTTGCATCTTCTTGGAGAAGCACATATTTTTTTATTCAGTGAAACAAATAACTTTTCAGTCCATTTTAAGCTTCCACTCTTTATATTTAGGTTCTACATCTTGTTGAAGGAAACAAAACAAAACAAATCAATGCTTTGGAAAAGAACAACTTAATGCTTTCTAATTATGTACTATGTTTTGTTGCTCTTCCCCCTTTAGCTTGGCAATGCTTCGTATTTGCTATCATCTTTGCAATCTTTAGATCCATTATGACTGTGAACTTGAAAATGAGTTAATTAGAAAAAACTGAAAGAACTCAAGCATTTTCCAAAATGAGATGTGTAAGACAGATAACCTAAATGCACCATAAACTCTGTAACAAGTTAAAATGTACATACATTCATAAAGCACCAGTTTCATAAGCGGTACTAAACTCTGAAAGGGTTTTGGTATATAAGAACAAACTCCTTAATGTAACATTCTACTTCAGAACAAAAAAGCATGCAATTTTTAGTCATTAGGAACGCAGTATTTCACAAAGAGTAATGCAAACATGTTACAAGGACAACATTACCCTTGTCCACTCAGTTTTATCACAAGTAAATGACCGCTACCCTGTATTCCACTCTTTAGCTAAGAGATGAGGAGAAAACAGGACCACTAGAGAATGAATGAGAATTTCAGGCTGTGAGCAAGAAATGCCTAAACTTAATGTGAGCATATCCTCACTTTCTCCTTCCAAAAATAAATACCAGACACCTGCGGACAAGTGGATATCATGGATATTATCAGGTATTGAATACTCAAGTACTAAAGTTAAAAAACTTCGTTTCAGAGTCCTATCATTTGCATCTGCAAGAGATCTTCTACACGGTGACAGACCCCTACTGAGGTGCCATCCTCAGGTGACTAACAAGCAGCTCCCACTAGAACATCCCTTTTCAAAGCAGTGCTGTTTCTCCAGAAGGAATCAGAAAACTGTTTCCATTCAGGTGACATCTTCACGCTGCCAAAGGGAAAGCAAGGATGACAGAAGGATGGGATGTATGCAGGTAGCTTGAAGGAAGGCAGCCTATCCTCAACACAGGACGTCCACAGCTACGGTACAGGGGTCCCTCCATCTCCATAGGCAGGACCGTGATCTACCTTTATGAGAACTGCTGCTGGTCCTTTGTGCCCCAAGTACTGAAGTGAGCAGCACTCTCCCCACAAAAAGTCTGTGTGTATCTCACGGGCAACATGATCTTTATTGGCAAAATCCATTCTTATTATGGTCAAGTAGCTGGAAATACCAGGCAACATGTTAACCAAGAACAAAGTTGTAAGCCAGTGAGGAAGATAAAGACCATGAGCTACACCTCAAATGTAACAAGTCTCCCCCTGCCCAAACCCCACATCCAAGCCACTTAGGAAGAGGTTTCTGCACTTCAGCTGCTGCACTCCTCTGCTGGTAGCACTTAGGAAACGGGGCTCTCTGAAGATGACCCACAGGCACTCTCCACTGCTTCCAGAACAGAAAAACTGTAGCAGCAAAGTGACACTCTAAATTTCAGCTCAGCATTAACAGTTAGGTACATGCAGATGATGCTGTTCTATACATGGGTCCAAGTACTGAGAATAAAAGGAAAAACTGGAACTATGCAAGAGTTATTAAGGGCATCGCATTGAGGGGCAGCATGGCAATTTAAAAGCCACTGGTTTCCAGCATACAAAGTACCATCACCTGCTTAAGACTAAGCTTTGAGAGCACAAACAGAAACACAGAAACTAACAGGAGGAAGAAATAAATTTCTAAAATAAAGGACATGAAATCCTGAAAATAAATAAATAAATAAAAATCAGGGAATGTGAGGAGAGATGGCATGGTATTATGGAAAAATAATTTTAATTTAAGAAAGCCTGTTTTCATATAGGAAGACGAAAACATAAAAGTTATAAGGACATACACAGAAATTAATTCCATAAGTGACCTTAAAAGGTATAAAACATTCTTCTTGACAGGACCCCCACCCCTGAGAAGAAGGGAAATGGGAAATAAGTATTTCAGCATTAAGCAAGCAAAACTGATACTAAAGCCTTTGCTAAGTCTAAATCTGAGTAGAACAAAACTTCTCTAGCAGGTATCTCACATGTGGATGACACAATAGTATGGTACATCTCCAGCGACAGCATTCTCCACTACGCTTTCCAAGAGACCACAAACAGCCCACAACATAAGGATACCAGCTTTGTAACATCCTGATACATCTATTGGTGAGAAAGTTCGAGCAGAAACAATTTCACCTCAAGAATACAAAGTACTGTAAGAGAACCAGCAGGAGGAGACAAAAATCTGGAGTGCAGGAGATGGTTTATTAACTCAGTACATTAGGTAAGGAGATTTAGGATTGTTTTATTAAAACTTTTTTTTTTTCAGTGAGAAAATTTATCTCATTGCAGTAGTATCTAGTGACAACTAAAACTGCTGTTTCCCTTACAGCTCTATCTAGAATACAAAGTACTGTAAGAGAACCAGCAGGAGGAGACAAAAATCTGGAGTGCAGGAGATGGTTTATTAACTCAGTACATTAGGTAAGGAGATTTAGGATTGTTTTATTAAAACTTTTTTTTTTTCAGTGAGAAAATTTATCTCATTGCAGTAGTATCTAGTGACAACTAAAACTGCTGTTTCCCTTACAGCTCTATCTGAAGGCTTGCTTGTAAAAAGGGGACAGTAGTGAAAGAGGTAAGAAAGAATAAGTTTAAACTAACTTCTCTTAATGTTGCTTCCAACCACAATCGACTTCTTCCAAGACAAATAGTTGATTCACTTTTTCTTTAAAAAAATTCTTATTTTATACATGAACTCTGGTTAAAAAAATAAAGTTTACTACCATCACAATGAATGTTTTGTTCCCCAATGTATTGTTGTAGAGCACTGCTTAGAAATAGTTTTCAACACAGGCTAAGTAAGGCCAAAGGACTGGTATTTATCCTACTCATTTGTGTATTCTGTGTGTGTACCAGAGGGATGACTTTGTATCTTAGACTCCTATCTAGTTTCATTCATCATTGATTCCCTTCTCCTACCCATTTGTTTTAGGGGAGTTAAAAACACAGCACTCAAAGTACTGTAAATAAACACACATTCCAACCTATCTGGTAAACCCTAAAAAAACAACCAAAGAGGCATTAAAACAATTCCAAGAAGCAGCAGCATGAAAGTTAGTTAATTAGAGATAGAGTCTATGTCCATATACGCAAACTTAGAAGTATGATGGACTGTTCGTTACATCATTTGCTATAAAAGAGAAAGTAATCAAAGTGTAGCTATGACAAGAGCACAGCTTTTTGTCCAGCATTACTTCCATCTCTAAGAAATGATGCCTCAAGACTCATTAGGAAAAAACCTACAAAAACAAAACAGATGAAAGCATGAGATCTTGCTGAGATCTCAGGTAACCAATCTGCTAACATGGTATGTATTGTACTTTTACACTTCATGGACCTTTTTTAAAAAAAAAAAAAAATTATAAGATCTATGTGTTCTTAAAACAGTTACTATCTTCTTGCCCTGATAACCAAAATACACACACTAAGAAGAACAATACTATGCTTTATGCCTCTTACACAACACTAATTAAAGAAAGATTTCCATCATTAAGGAAGCTGATGAAGTAAAGGAGTATATATTAATCCCAGTTACTGGGGAAAGGAGCATCAGTTCAATTCCACCCCCCAGGAACATTGAGGAGCTCTAAAAAGTCAGATTATAAAAGAGCATAAAATTAGTTCTGTAGTTACAAACGCAATGATACTATTGTATATATAGTTTACAAAACTGAAACCACAGAACCTCAGTTGTCCTACAAGGAGTGAAGAGTTCTTTTCATCAAAAGAAAAACAAACACTACGTGTTTTTCTAATTTAAGTGGCCTGTAGGAAAAACAAGCCCAGGCTGCACATTAAGAAACAATAATTTTTATTTATGTTTATTTTTACGTAGGCAACGTAAAAATAAAGGGTGTAAACGGTTAGTCTT